ATTGCGTTCAAGTTTTCTACACCTATTAAATTTCTAAGCCTCTTAAACACCATAACTTAAAATGTCTTTGTCATGATACCTGTAATTTGGTCTTCACCTTTGTAGTGTTCTAGACATGGTCTCTCATTGCATACTTGGTCTTTAAGATTGTGCAATCACATCTTTATATGTTTGCTCTTGCCATGTGCAACATGATTTTTAGCTAAATATATAGAAGAAATGTTGTCAACCTTTATGGTCATAGCTCCATTGATGCTGGTCTTCAATTTCATCAATTAGATTTATCATGCATATAGCTTAATAAATGCATAGTGATGTTGTAATGTACTCTGCTTCACATGAGAACAAAGTCACCACAAGCTTCTTTCTTGAACTTCAAGCTACTAGTGCATCACCTAGAAAAAACACATATTTGTTGTTGATTTTCTATCATCAACATCACCACACCAACTAAAATTAGTGTATCCAACAAGCTTACACACCTTCCCTTTGTTTGTTACTGGAAACAAGATATCATAATCTAATGTGTCATCTCAAAATCTATTTGAACGCATCATGTGTATAGGTTGGCTACGAAAAAACATATTGTTCAGGCTTATTTGAAACTAGAATATCATATACCAAATATATCACTGGAAAGAACGACACATTTCACACAAGATGCTGAAACTTGGTCGGATCACTTTTTTTAAAAGGATGGAAGAGTTCACCAAATTGAGCGACATTGAAAGGAAGGCAGATATGAAAAGATCGAAGAATGAACCACCAATAAATTTAGGCAGTGACATATGTTTTGATGCATTTTAGTTGTAATATAACAATATAATATATTTTTGTATGTAACACGCTGCATAATATTATAAAATTGGATAATTTTATGGATATTTTGTGTTTTTGAAAATTGGCTCTGCATTATCAATTGGTTCTATTCTGCATAGATTTTGGATGGAGTCAAAGATGCATCTTTGGACACATCTTGTAATTTTAGAGAAAAAAAAGGAAATATACGGATGTGAATCTCCGGATAAACTCTTATTTTTTAAACAAAAACGGAGGACCCGGTGATGCATCTCTGAAGTCTTTCCTGAAGATAGAATAGAGTTTGTAAGGTCCTTATTGCTCTACACCTTCTATAAATAGGGTCTGTCATTCCATTTTCTTTACAAAAATCAGAATGAATTCCTATCTCCATCTTGCATTTGTGTATTTTAATGGCGCAAATCCCTTAATTTAGTCTAGGGTCTCTGAGGACATGCTTTTCGTTGATCTGAAATCCAAACTGAATACTATGCTGCGATATCCAGAAAATTGAAGAGCTGTCAAGCTCGAGTACCATTCATCCTCCATTGACAACAAATGGAAGATAAAGTTCATTATGCTTGAACTGAAGACAGATGATAATTTAAAGGTTATGTGGAGGTGCTTTTTACCGTTACTCAACAAAGGATCTTATTGAAGTGGATGCAACAATTCAAAGATCAGCCGGAGATATTATAAAAATGTTGTAATGTTGTGAACCATCCATTTGTAATGACATGTAATGTTAAATTTATGTAATGTTTATCTATATAATATCTATATTAGGTTTCCATTCTACTATTGTTTTCTACATGTTTCTGATTTGAACTAACATAACACATTCCAGAGATACGGATGTGAAATTTTTTTTTCTACTATGCATTTCTTTTGCCTCGAGAACAATGTAAATGTTCAGGGGATTAACTTGTCATTTAAAAGGAATATGACATTTTTAACATTGTGATGTGGGCAATTCGAAGTGCACTCATTATTTGTAATTAAAGGATTAGAAGAAAAAAATCTCCAAATTATTTTATAAATCTTTGCAACATTTAACATTCAACATAACTATATTAATACTAACAATGTGCTGATTTGATAGCAAATGATTTAACATGTTGATAAATAATGGTCATCATCATGTATTTTAAACATAATCCATCAGTGCATCATAACCATTCAAATGTATTATTTTCATAAAAATCAAATAGTTAAAACAAATCAACGGTTGTGATTACTCGACAGTGTATTTCAATTAAATTCTAAATAGAAACACGACTCTTTTTTTTAATGGTGGTCAATAAGATTCTAAATTCAATAAATTTAAAAGTATATTTTGTTTATTAAAATTAATATATTTCTTCAAATTGATCAGTTACTATCCAATTTGTTTTCAATGGTTGGGTCTAATTTGTAATAAAATCTGTCACACATTTTTTGACATGTGCCTAGTTAATAAACTATTATAGAATGACTCGATAACCAATCACACTCGCATATTATATTTAATATTATACCAACAGTTCAAAATATATTGAATCATGAAAACCAATCTTCCTAATAAGGCCACCACATTTAGTACAAGTAAATTTTCTCTACACTTGTAGCAGAACCTAGATCCACAACGCATTAGAGCAAGGAAAGAATAAACAAAAGCATAAAAAATGTCCCTGAGTGAAAGTTAATTGATTATCTCTTATGCAATACAAAAGTATGCACAATATTTAAAAGGAGTAAGGTAGTAGAAAGTAGAAACCACTATTCAAATATTTTCTTATCAGAACCTTTCATCAGGGCATCAGTATTATAATTATACAAGTAAACACTTGGAGCAACTATTGGTTGTTTACTTACTATATAGGTTGTAATCCAATTGACCATTTAGATGTTTCTATTTCCATTGCTTAGGTCTTGTGATCTTCAAGAGATTATACATTGGTGCTCTGTCAATGAGAAGTCTTCTTCCATCTATAGTCGTGGACTCGTGTTTCCATGCAGGTCCAATAAGCCATGATGCAGCAATTCCACCAATCAAACCTCCTAACTGAAAAAGTTTATGTTAAAGGAAGCACTAGCAATAGAAATAGGTTATGTTGTATAGCCAGCATCTTTTACTAAACAAAAGGAACTGAGAAAATGAAATATTAAAGCACTAAACAATCCATGTAGGATAACTCCTACACTTACATGTCCCCAGTTGTCTATGCCATTTGATGATAACCCAATGACCTGCACCAGAAATACTTGCCCCGTTAGAACACGATGATGGAAAAGAAAAGAGTAACCCATCTATAAGTCACATTGATACAGTGAAGATTTAAGTTAAAAGCAGAAGTGACACAAGGGAATGAGACTTTTACCATGTTGAGAGCAATTACTTGTGCAATGTGCTGCAGATCTTTTCTACCCCCACCTACAAGGTCTTTGTGCCTTAAAACAAACACCGCAATCGATCCAACCTGAACCATTACAGCTCATTAGAAATAAAGAGTGGCATTCGATCTACTTATGATTCACAAAGAATGACTAATTATGATAAAAGCCCATAAAACAGACGATGAAGCAAAGTCGTGACAAATAAAATACGAAAAGAACTCACAAGTCCAAAAACTGCTCCTGACGCACCTACTGCAGGCATTTTGCAGAACCGATAACTCATAGCAGCACCTGATTTTCTAAAAATTACAGAATTAGAATACTTTTGAGGTAAGCACTTTCATTGGCTATTGTAGGAAGAAAACAAGTGGTTACTTGCAATTGAAGAGACAAAGTAAACTGCAAGATATCTTCGAGGACCACTGAAGCTCTCCACAGTTGGACCAACTGAATTTAGGGAATAACAATTTACCTGCAGATAATTTGTAATAACTTTCAACAGCAAACTAAACCAGACATAACAGAACAAACTTGAAATAGATAAATTCAAACCCTACCATAAGGTGTCCAATGTTTGCATGCAGAAAGGAAGACGTAACAAGTCTCCAAAGTTGTCCTTTGTCAATGAGACTGTTTATCTAGTAACATACACAACTAACATGTAATAATGATCCAGGGAATTTATTTAACACATGTTCTGAGATCAGATTCTTAATTGAAACCTTACCTTTGCTCCCCACAACAAAAGGCTACCTTTGGTTGCAAATTGCGCAAAATAAACTCTGGAAACAATTAGTACTCACAAATTATAACAAGTCATGAACTTAACACACCAATGAAGTGAATATGTTGATACTCACAAAACATTGACAGCAAGGAGAATATTTGTCCACTTCCTTCCACTAAATGGATTTTTTCGGGACACATTCGAGTCAGCATTTCCAAAGCGGGCTTCAGGTCTTCCCCCGTTAAAGAAAGAGAAACTGTTTGAACACGTGGAAGTCAAACCGTCACTTGAGAATTGAAGATATTTCAATCCTTTGTGGTGAAGGAATCTTTGACACCATTTGTCCTTCAATCTAAGCACGGGAGCAAGGCTCTGTTCAACAAGAGAGAAATTTGAGTCAGGAAATGCTGACGCAACATCCAAATAAGGAGAAGATAACTAAAAATATACAAGTCGTAGCAAAAAGAGGACCTTGAAACAGGAACTAAGTAGAAACTCAAGGCGGAGATGGTGGGAGACACGGTGGCTGAAGTGGAGGGAGGCGGCGGTGGCTATGATATCAAGTGGGTAAGGACCCACCTTGCAAACCGGTGACAGAAATGGCTGGGGCATAAACATTTTTTGTTTCACCTCTCCGGTTCCAACCCGGATAATAAACTACTTTGATTTATTCTCAATCGATCATCAATTAACTTAATTTTTTCCCCACATGCCATGCACATGAAACAAAATTCTCAAAATATCACAGTCTAAAAAAAAATTTCCAAGATGCCACACTCAGGGAGTTCACGCCATTTGAAATGGCGCGAATGTGAGCAGGAAAGGCTCACGCCAAATCAAATGACGTGAAATGCCTTTTTATTTATTTATTTTCGTTTTCTAACATTTTTGTTATTTATTTTTATTATTTTTATTATTTAATTTTTTTATTAATTACAAATACTTTAATAAAATTATTTAGTTATAAAAATAGTACTTCAAATAAATATTTAATAATTACAATATGATAATAAATTTTTTTTATTAAATAATAAAATATCACAATTACAATCAAAATGCTAAATAAAATAATACAGTTAAAATTTCACAATTACACTATTTAATACTGATGACCCGGTCCGAAACGAGTACCCATAAAACAATAACGCGGTCGCGGAGCACGATGACCAAAATCATATTGTTGTTCGGTCTCTGTTGTTGGAGGATTTTGTTGTGTTGCATCTGATGTTGGAGGATTTTCTTGACTAGGAGCGGTAGCTTGTGGAGGAGACCAAATACTTTCCAGTAAATCATAATCACTGACGTTAAGATCCTCGCCAAAATTATATTGCGGTTATTGTGACGGACACATGGTTGGAAAACAAGGCGGGTTATGTTGGGAGGAGGAGGAATCGAAGTTTGGCCGCATGATGGGTGTGAATTGTGTAGTTGGCCTATTATAAATTTGTGGTTGTTGGGATTCATAAATGTAATTTGGTTGGGAGTGAGATTGCGGGTATTGGGTGTTAAAGGTTTGATTTTGGTAAAAATAAGGGGCAGGAATTTGTAGTTGAGAAAAATGAGGATTAGAAGTTTGTTGTTCAGGATAATGGGGATGAGTGTTTGATGTTGGGAAAAGTGAGGAGTTCGTTGTTGGAAGGATTGGGGTTGAGGAGGTTGAGAATGTTGTGAGTGGTGAGGTTGTTGAGAGCCACTTGCCTGAGTAGGGGCATATTGATTTTGACGAGGGTAAGTGAGAAATTGTTCGTACGATGCATATCTATGTGGAAGCAAGTGATACCATTGCATGTACTCATTTGACGGTTTCTCCTCTGTTTGTAATTGATCTCCATCCAACGTACACAATTCTCGATGCAACCAACAGTTTTGTTCATCAGAGTATAATGTGGTATATGCTTTTTGGCGCGCTTTTATTGTTGTCATCTTATGGTGTTCAGCCAAGCATCGAGCTTCTTCAGGTATCCCTTGTAAATGGCCAAATTGTAGTTTGACCCTATCTGCTTGATGCATTTCTACAATATGAAAGCATATATTATATACGTAGTTGAACTCCATATCAAACTGTCCTCGTGCCTTTGGGGCGCTAATCCAAGATACGACCTCCAAATAAACTGAAAAGTTGTAGATAAATTTTTTTAGTTTAACCAAAATAAAATTCAAAAATTTATAAGAAATATTAAAGTGAAGACAAAAAAACCTGATCTTGAAGCATGTGATCAATCCTGAATCGGTATCCTTGTAGATGGTGGCGCGGGTTGTTTTGGTAGTCAAGTTTCTTGATGCACCACCTAAAAAGAATTTAAAATTAAATTTTATTTTAAAGTATCCTAACAATATTAATATCCTGTGAACTTTACAGAGTTGAATCTTGAGGTAACAAAGTTTATATTTTATAACTTAATTGTATCTTCTTTTTTTGTTCTTAATGAAAATATGATTGAGTGTAAATATTATTATGTTAGGTTCATTTATGTTCCAGCCCCTCACACTAGTGAAAGACTTGCTGAAGCACTTGTTAATTGTTTAATGGAATGGAACATTGATTCAAAGCTTTGTACTGTTACTTTAGATAATTGTAGCACAAATGACTCAATGATTAGAAAAATTAAGGATAAGTTGTCGTTGGAATGTTTGATAAGGGATGGGTCTTTATTACATATGTGTTATTGTGCGCACATCCTAAATTTAATTATTCAAGAGGGGCTATAAGTAATTAAGGATGGGGTAGAAAAAATTCGGGATAGTGTAGGATTTTGGAGTGCTACACCTAAAAGGCATGAAAATTTTGAAGATACCGCTAGACAATTGAAAATTGTTTGCACTAGAAAGTTAGCTCTAGATTGTCCAACAAGATGGATTAACACATATAAGATGCTTGATATTTCCATAGAGTACAAGGATGTATTTATTCAGTTGAAGCAACATGAGTCTTTATACACTTGTTTTCCAACTAATTCACAGTGGTAATTTGCTACAGATTTTTTGTGGGTGCTTGAAATTGTTTAATGAAATAACTAAGTTGATTTTTGGTACCAAATATCCTACTACCAACTTGTACTTTCCTAAGATTTGTAAGATTAAGTTGGCAATAGAGGAATGGAAGAAGTCATCCAATTAAATTATTGAAATGATGGAAAATTTTCAAAATTATTGGAGTGGTGTTCATGATATGATGGGAGTTGCTGCAGTTTTGGATCCTAGGAAGGAGATGGTTGTACTTGATTTATGGTTTCCTAAGTTGTATGGCCAAGATTCAAGTGTACAAGTTAGTAGAATCAAAGAGATGTGTTATGATTTTCTCAATGATTATCACCATATTAGACTTAGAGATGCACAACCTATCGCTCCATCCATTGGTATAACTACTGTTGTTGATGACGAGGTTGAATTTGATGCATACGTTAAGGCGATTGCAGAAAACTCAAGTTCAAGTGTTAGGTATGAGTTGAATCATTATTTGAAGGAGTCAATTATAAAAAAAACTTCAGATTTTGACATTTTGAATTGGTGGAAGGTAAATGGAGTTGTGTATCCAACACTTCAAGCAATTGCAAGAGATATGTTAGTTATTTATATCTCTACAGTAGCTTCTGAATCGACCTTCACTAATAATGGTCGAATATTGAGTCTTTATCATAGCCGACTTAACTGGACTTCTGTAGAGGCTTTGATGTGTGCTAGGAGTTGGCTATTGACTGCTGAGAATAATGGTATGTCAAATAATCTTTACTTTCTATATTCATCTAAGCTTCCAATAATATGTCACTATGAACTTTGAACTTGTACCAACTATATAATGAAGCTACAATTACATATTGTCAACTAATTATTTTTTGTTATTCTAAATGTGATATATATATATATATATATATATATATATATATATATATATATATATATATATATATATATATATATATATATATATATATATATATATATATATATATATATATATATATATATATATATATATATATATATATATATATATATATATATATATATATACGTGTGTGTGTGTGTGCGCGTGTGTATAAGAACTTCTACAGTTGCATATGAAATTGCTACTGTGTTGAATGAAATGGAATCTGACGATGAAGGTATTTTGTATTTCATTTGATGTAAAAGTTTTAAGCTTTGGTGTTTTATTTAACTTCAATTTACTTCTTAATAGAGTTGAATTGATGAAAAGTTATTTGGGTTACCATTTTGAAGATCAGAAGTTGTTGTTTCTATGCTTTAACATTGTGAGTATTGCTGGTTTCAATATTGCTTTAAATAACATTACTAATGACCTTAATGTTAACAAAACATGCATGTCTATTTGAGAGAGCTTGCTTATGGAATTCTTGTGATTTAATTTCCTTGTAGACTATGTTACCATGTTTCTTTTGGAAAGTTGTAATTTGATTGTAGACTTTAATTCTAATTGTAATGTTAAGATGTTGAATATCTTAATTTTAATTTTAATTGTAATGTTAAGATGTTGAATACCATGTTGAATACCTTAGTTCAATTTTGATGGAAAATTGTAATGTTGTTGTTGGAAAGTTGTAGGAAAATTGATGGAAAAATATAATGTTGATGTTGGAAAGTTGTAGGAAAATTGACGGAAAATTGTAATGTTGTTGTTATATTTTATGTGTTTTGCTGCGGGAAAACCCCGAACCTAACGGGTGTGGGTGTGAGTGTTATTTTTCCACCCGAATAGCTATTGGGTTTGGGTTTGGATTCAGGTGGTGATTTCGGGTGCGGGTTTGGGTCGTGTGAAACCCGTACCCGACCCTACCCGTTGTGATCCCTAAAGGGGAATCCTAAGGAGAAAGTTCAAGAGTTCATCGGAATCAAGGTAAGGGTGGGTTTTTACATTGTTGTGGGAATTGTATGATGATGTATGAGGGTAGATTCATGTTTAGAATGAAATCCCTAAATTTCCATGGTTTTGAAATTGTTCGGTTTTGATGAGAAATCCTTGAATATGATGAGTAATGGTGTTGTGATGTTTCTACTTGAAAATGCATGTAATATATAGGTTATAATGCATTAAATCATAGAAATTTGGATGTTAAAATATGTTTTTGGATGGAGGAATTACACATGGAGAATGTTGTCTGTGCAGAAAAAAATTTCTGATTTCAGATGATTCTGCTAAGCCGCTTTAGCTAGCTATACGAGCTCGCGAAAATAACATTTTTATATAACTTCAAAAATTCATATTTTTTGAACTGTAAGTCCAACTCAAGAATCGTTTGAAGCATCAGAAAGATAATGAATAGAACTATAACATAATATAGATAAGATAATTGGTTTCTCAGTATTTATATGGCTAATATGTTTGGAAAGTCAATTGTGTATATGTTATGTTAATGAATTTTTGCACTGTTTGCTACAGGTTGTGAAATTAATTGGGGATAATTAATTGAATACTTGTGTATGTGTGTGTGTGTGTGTGTGTGTGTGTGTGTGTGTGTGTGTGTGTGTGTGTGTGTGTGTGTGTGTTTGCTTGTATAAGTATGTTTTGGTGTGTGACAATATGATACATGATAGTTATTGTTTGTTGTGATGATAATACAATTGTGATTGTATTGTAAAATATGTTGTATATTGTTGTACCCTAATTTTTTACCCAAGATACCACTTCATATGCGTCGTTGCATCTATAATAAAATACAAAAATAGATTGTGTTTTCTCTTTGTGTCAAACAGAGTTTTGAGTCAGGAAATCTCCATAAATACAAGTCTTGATCAAATTAGGATTTTGATCGAAGAAAGTGGATCATTAACTTTTGGCTTAGTGCATGACCTAATGGCTTGAGGCATGATTCAAAGAACTCAAATGCACCATCTTTACCTAATTACATGTCTCAATACATTTTCAAAGATACAAATGATTAATGGTGAAAAAATTGAAATCAACTGATGAAAAGTCAATTGTCACAAAAAAGTCAAAGTTGGACTTTTTGGTCAACAATGAACTTCAGAAGTCAAGAATCACTAAAGCATTCAAATTTGTAAAAATTGATCATCAAGAATCAAGAGAATCAGGAAAGTCAACCAAAGTCAAATATGAAGACTTTTAAACACTTAGAAATTTTCAAGTGTTTTGTACTCAAAATAACCCTAACTTCACAAGAAAGTTTCACAAGAATTCAAACTGATTCAAAGTAAACTTTCAACATGAAAGTTGTAGGGAATGGAAATTTATGAAACTTTGTCAACGAGGGTTGATCTCCAAAAAGTGCTCAAATTAAGAGTTATGGGCATGTGAACTTCTGCCAACACTTAGAGAATTTTATCAAACAATTTTGGTCAGATTTTTATCCCCACTTCATGGCCATTTTTCACTATGATCCAGATTGATTCAAGAAAAGTGTTCAACATGAAAGTTGTAGATGTGTTTTCAAGATTTCCAAAATGTCCAAAATCATGAATTTATCTTACTTAAGTTGGAAGTTTCAAATTTATGGAGTTGGGTGATCAAAGTTGCATTACAAGTCATTTTTGAGATAGATTAATGACCAAATCTTCAAGCCATGCTATGAAATCCCTCATTTCATGCCATAGTACCTCTAAATCTATTTAAATTCAGAAAAGTACATAAGCCTCCAAGCCTTTACCTAAGAGATACAAGTCATTATCCAAATAACTTGTCATTTAATGTAGAAAGTTACCATTACTATTCTTGAAAAGCAAGCTTTTTGGCACAAATTGTCTTGAGCCCATACCTTACCTACTTCTGATCATACTCCATTATAAATCATGGAAAGTAACTTCTCTATACCAGCAACTTTGGTACTTCATCTTGGAACCATGGAAAACTTGTCATAACTTGATATTTGCATTTCAACCAAAACCATAACTTGACAACTTGAGAACCAATTCATCTCATTACCTGTGAGTTTTCTATATAAATAGATAACTTATTTTCAGTTCAAACACACTAATTCGCAGTTCCATAGCATCTCCAATCTCTCTCAAAATCACAAATTGCTCCAAAACTCCATTAA